GGCTCAGAAAAATTTGCTATGATTATGATTAAAATTTTAAATTTGACTCGTAAAATTCTGATGACTCAGAAAAATGATCTTATGATTAAAATTTTAAATATGATTCTTAAAATTCTGATGGCTCAAAAAAATTTGCTATGATTATAATTAAAATTTTAAATTTGACTCGTAAAATTATAATAAAGCAGAACTATTTGCTATGATTATGATTAAAATGATCCTATGATTAAAATTTTAAATTTGACTCGTAAAATTCTGATGGCTCAGAAAAATTTGCTATGATTATGATTAAAATGATCCTATGATTAAAATTTTAAATTTCGTAAAATTCTGATAGCTCAGAAAAATTTGTTATGATTATGATTAAAATGATCTTATGATCATTAAAATTTTAAATTTCACTTGTAAAATTCTGATAGCTCAGAAAAATTTGCTATAATTATGATTAAAATAATCCTATGATTAAAATTTTAAATTTGGCTCGTAAAATTTTTCTTTTCTGGCTCAGAAAAATTTGCTATGATTATGATTAAAATTTTAAATTTGACTCGTAAAATTCTGATGGCTCAGAAAAAATTTGTTATCCTATGATTAAAATTTTAAATTTGACTCGTAAAATTCTGATGGCTCAGAAAAAATTTGTTATCCTATGATTAAAATTTTAAATTCGTCTCGTAAAATTCCGATGGCTCTAGAGAAAGACTGCAAACCCAAAGATTTGACCGAAAGGAAACGAGGTACTCACCGAACATTGGCCAAAGTGTGTCTCCTTGATCTGAGGTTGTGGTAGCCCCGAAGCTCGCCGATGCTCCCCTGTTCGGCCTGCATCTTGGCCTGTGCAGTTGCAGCGGCACTGGCGATCACGTGGTGCTGGTGAGCCGGTGCACCCGCCGTGGTGATGCTTCTGCGCGATCGCCAACCCGTTCTGCTGCCTCCACCGCCGCTCGGGGTTGGCGATTTCTTCTGGTACGGCCTACGGATCACCGCCCGCCAACGCGGTCCAATTTTACCGGCCAAAGGTTACACAGCCCCCAGTGTAGGAGCTGTTTACTCGGTGCAAGCTGATCGCTTGTCACGCACTGTTTAATCGGACGACGCTTCCCCTTTTGAGGACATCTCGACTCGCCACCATTCTGCTTGCTCGTTGGATCATTTCGGATAAATGGATCGTAGGCAACGGTGTAGAGTGAGAAAGATTCCACGCGTGTATTGAGAGGAAGATAAAAGGTGTTATTTTAGTGATAGGTATATTTAGGTTAGGATTTTCTGATGTTTCAAGGAATTTATTAAAATTTGGAAAAATAAAATGTATTTGATTGAAATTGTGTCGAGAGGAAGTTAAGGAATTGTTATTTTGTCAATGGTATTTTGGATTCTAGAGAAATACAAAAAAAGAAAAATTTGTGATGTATGTATATATATATTTTTAGGTTAGGATTTTGTAGTGTTTCAATTTAAAATTCGTATTATGAATAGAGGGGGAAAAATATTTGATTGAAATTGTGTTGAAGGAAGTTAAGGAGTTATTTGGATTCTAAAGAAGTTTAAAAAAAGAAAAATTTGTGATATATGTATATATATATTTTTAGGTTAGGGTTTTATAATGTTCCAAGGAATTTAAAATTCGTGTTATGAACAGAAAGGAAAAATATTTGATTGATATTGAAAAAAAGTTAAAGAGTTATTATTTTATCAATGATATTTTGAAAAAATCCTCAAGAAATCCAAAGAAATCTGTAAATCATTTCCATGGAAATATCTCAGAGATTTAAGAGATGGTGTGAAAGTTATTGAGGAAGAATAAAATTATATTATAATAGAGAATTAATTGTTAAAAGAAAATTATTATTTTATCAATGATATTTTGAATTCCAAAGAAATCCAAAAAAAGAAAAATCTGTGAACCACTTTCATAAAAATAACATAGGGATTAAAAGAGATAGTTATTGAGAAAAAATAAAATTATGTTATAATAGAGAATTAATCATTGAAAGA